ATTTAAAATTTATAAAGTATTTGTTTCTGGAATTTTCCATCTAATATTTTCCAGGTGCAATTCACTGACAGTAAAAATAAAGTAAAATGAACATCATCGTAATGGAAAAAATTGAAAACACCTGCCAACTTAGAGGCTAGGATGAGAAGAACAGAACATCACTTCTGTGATATTCCTGCCAAAACTTCATACTCTAAGTTCAGTGATGAAAAATAGACAAACTCAAACTGAGAGATACTTTATAAAACAACGGGCCTGTGATTTTTGGGGGGGCAGTACTGGGGATCAAACCTGGGACCTTGTAGTTGCAAGGCAGGCGCTGGAACCACTGAGCTAAATCCCCAGCCCTCATGGCCTGTGATTTTTAAAAATGACAAGGTCATAAAAGGCAAGGAAAGACTGATCAGCTATTCCAGAATGAAAACTAAAGATATATGGCAACAAAATGAAAACTGATTCTGTGCTTGAATGTTCTGAAGACTTTCTGATTCTGGAACTTTTTTGGCTATAAAGATATCACCAGAAAAACTGGAGAAACTTGAATGGAGTCTTCTTAGTAGATAACAGTAGATAAAATTGTATTATGGTTGTGAAAAAGAACTTTATAGGAAATATACACTAAAGAATTCTAAAGATGGTGTCAAGTAAGCAACTTACTCTCAGATGGCTCAGGAGTGAAAGGAAGGGTGTATATTGTACTTCCAACAGTCTTAAAAACTTTTTTTTTTGCAGTGCTGGGGATTGAATCTAGGACCTTATATGTGCTAAGCAAAGGCTCTATCACTGAATTACATCCCCAGCACTTAAAAAAATTAAAATGATGGTTATTAAGGTGCAGAAAGTAGTATTTCAGTGCCTAAAATACTATAGATGTTCAAAATGTTAAATTTTCTCAAAATTCTATTTCTCCTTTTGTAGTAGCCACAACACCATCATTCACTACGCCTGTGCTTCTCACTGTCAATATTGCTCCTCCCGTCTATAGTGGTGGGTTACTGTATTTCTGAGGCATGTGTCCTTGACCCCATCTGGTCTGCAGAGAGAAGAAACAAAGCAGATACTCAGAAAGGAGCAGAAATAAGAAACAAGGCCCAGGAGAGATACTAAGTGCACCAGCCTTGGTTTCTTACAGTATTCCAATCCTAGTGCCTCATGAACCTTCAGCTCCCTTACCATACTCCAGCATCCTAATAAATTTCCTCCTTTTATACAGGCCAGCTTGAGTAAATTTCTGTCAGTTGTAACCAAAAGTGTTACATCTCCTTCCCCACCTTGTGCCAAATTTCACAACAACCTTGCTCTTACATGAAAAGCACCTTGGTCCCCCAAAGAGTGGATACCTTTGCTGTTTGTAAGGCCCAACACAGCACTTCTTAAGGGCTCTAGGGTATCTTAAGTCAGTTCCACTCACCAAGGCTGGCCTCAGCCAACAGCAGGTAAGCGGGCACAAGCTCTACTGAACTCAGGCCATGCATGGCCATGCGGAAGCGAAGGGAATGCAAAGCTGCTGGGACAGCATCTTCATATTTTCCTTCAAAAAGATATTTCTGGGAAACTGTGTAGCAGAACTCAATCAAATGCTTCTGTAATAGACAAAAACAGAGCATCAGAAGCAATCTAAATGTAAAAGGCAAAAGGTGGGCATAGATACACCTGGAGATAAGTCCAACATCCTTATCTGGAGATAAGCCATTCAAACTATGGAAGGATCATAGTGAGCCTGCAAAACAGATAACGTAAAAAGGTAGCTCTGGACTCTGAGTTCTTCAGTATCCAGGAACACATGTCTTTGTCTTAGTTCACTCCTTGGTGGATATAAAGCTACTAGATGAATAAATATGCATTTTATTATAGTTCTAATAAAACATGTCTAGCAAAGTTATAGATATCTTGGGATGATCTAAAATTTTCTATTTAAGCTAATTTTGAGAGAAATATCTCATTTTTACTTCTGGAATTATCCTGCTTAGCTAGCAACTTTATATTGTTCTAAAGCTGCTATCAAAGTACCATAACACCAAAATTGATAAATGCAGTATTTAGAATATAGGGCTCATGGGGCCGGGGATTTAGCTCAGTGGTTCCGCCGCCTGGCAAGCAAGCACAGGGGCCTGAGTTTGATCCCCGGTAGCAAAAAAAAAAGAATATAGGGCTCATAAAATGCTAATTTTTATAGTAATTAAGATGCTACTGATAGCATAATAATGGGAGTTAGTTTTGTGAAATCTCCTCTATTTATTTACCAGTTATATCCTCCTAGTATGTGGCCAAGCTCTTACCACAGTACTTGACACAGGTAGACACTATGGGCTGAATTGTGCTCTCCCCCAAATTGATGTGCTGAAACTCCAACTCCCATCCTTTGGGATGTGGCTATATTTGGAGATAGTGCCTTTAAAGAGATGATTAAGTTAAAATGAATCTATAAGGTGGGCACTAACCTAACCTGACCAGTGTCTTTATGAGAAGAGGAAACTGGACACACACAGAGACACGAGAGATGCATGCTCACAGAGAACTACACAAGGACACAGCAAAGAGGAAGCCAATCTGTAAGCCAGAAAGAGAGGCCTCTGAAGAAACCATGGCAGCCAACACCTTGATCTTGGACTTCTATCCTCCAGGACCACGAGAAAACAAATTTCTATGGCTTGGGCCACCCAGTCTGTGGTATCTTGTTATAGCACTTCTAGCAAACTAAAATAATGAGTATTCAGTATATGTGGAAACAACTGACTGAATGAGATTGAGGACAAAAAGCCATAAAGCAAAGCCTCTGCCCTCACTGAGGTTACAATTTAGTGGTCATAACACAGTTCAGCCCTTCTGTGGGTAGTTTCACTGCACCCATGAGCTAAATCCATCACAGTCCCTACAGGTCCCACCTGCCGCCGCTGAAGCTGCTGCAAGCCATGCTGCCGTTCTTCCTCTGAATTATAGAAGGGCATGGAAGTGCGCAGTGGAATCAGGAGCTGACATATCTTCTCATGGATGCTGTGCCAGTCAGCTTTTTGGTGCACCACACCACTGACAAGAAAGACACAGACTTTATTATCTTTATCTTTGGCCCTCCCACTGGCCTTACCCTACACACCAGAAAAGTAAGGCCACCACAAATCAGGTAGGGGGTCAAGCCATTTCAGAGACAGAAATACTTTTCTTACACACAGTTATTTGATGGTGTGCTGGGTTTGGGGAGAGGTAATGGGAGGAGCTCTTTGCTACAGCCAGATGTTCACACCCCACAGTCTCACCTGGATGCGTGGCTATTCTGTTTAATAACAGCAAGGACAACTTTAACTCTACATTGTTCTAAGGTTATTTCAAAAATGTCTAAATAGAAAGTTGATGAATTTGAGGGTCTTTTTCTTGGAGAAGGGAAAATAATTTACATTTGATGAAGCTTTACAAACATGTGTCCCTATAACTATGCCACCAAGAGAACCACTAGCATTGTCTTCTGTCCTCAGAAGCACATATCCTGGTCACAAAGAATGCACTGGGAATAACCTCCCAGCCCCAGTGGTGCAGCAGGTTGTCTTGCATGTAACTATTTAGCTCTTTTAAAACAAAATAAAATCTGTTGTTACCATTTTAAAGGTAAGGTAGATATGGCAAGATTAAGGAGTTACCCTGAGCCAGTGTACCAGTCACTGTTTTTCAGTCCTCTAGAAAGAAGCACCTTGACAATTTGGTTTACAGCTTTTCTGACTGTTATACACACGTACTTAGTATTTTTAAACATTCAGTTAGACAGTGTAGATATAGCATTTACATCATTGCAAAAAATTCTGTTGGGCAGCATGACTACACAGCAGTGATGGCAAACCTTTGAGAGCTTTCAATGATACAAACAGCCTGCTGTAGCACATGTGCCATAGGTTTGCCACCGCTGCTCTAAACCATCCACCCCCATCCCTTAAATAATTGCCTGTTTGAATGACTCCCTGGTCTTTTACCCAATTCTGACCTTTCCTGCAATCATGGTTTTGTTTTTTACATTTTAATGCACAGTATGATTCACATACCATAAAATTCACCACTTTAAAGCACACAATTTATTGTTTTTAGCAGTTCACGAGGTTGTATAACCATCACCCTAATTGCAAGACATCATCCTCCTTAAAAATCAAATCAAAACAGAAAAACCCTCTGTACTTGTTAACAGTCATTCCAGTTTTTCTCTTCTAACACTGATGCCCAGAAATCTATTTTCTGTCTCTCTCAGTTTGCCTATTCTGGATATTGCACATAAATGGAAACGGACAATATGTAACCTGTAGTATCTGTTTTCTTTCACTTAGAATAATGCTTTTAAGATATAAATATTCTCTTACTTTTTATGACTAAATAATAGTCCACTGTGTGCATGTAACACATTTGGGTTGTTTCCACTTTTTTGTTATTATGGCAAATGAAGCTATGAACATCTATGTACATTTTTGTGTGAACATATTTTTTTTTTGGCACCAGGGATCGAACTCGGGACCTTGCACTTGCGAGGCAGGTGGCAGAACCACTGAGCTAAATCCCCGGCCCTCCAAATTCCTTTTTATAGTGCTTGTGCCAGTTCATATTCCCATTGGCAATGTACACATATGAGAGTCTAAGTTCTCCACGACCTCAACACCATTTGCTTTTTTCTCTCTTTGACCAGAGCCACCTTAGTCAATGTGAAGTGGTGTCTCACTGTGTTTTCGATTTCCATTTGCCTAATGATTATATTCAGCAGCTCTTCATGTTCTAATTAGCTACTTTCATATCTTCTGAGGAGAAATGTTTATTCGAATCTCTCCCTTTAAAAGCCAAGTCTTTTGACATCTTATTGTTGAATTTTAGTTTTTTTATATATCCTCTCAGATGTATGACTTACAAATATTTTCTCTCATTCTATGAGTTGTCATTTTCTTCATAGTGCTCTCTGTTCTGTAAAAGTGTTACGTTTTGATGGTATGCAACTAACCTATTTTTCTTTACTTCCTTGAGCCTTTTGATGTCATATCTAAGAAAATGTTGCCTAATTCAAGATCATACATTTGCAACCATGTTCCTTCTGAGTTTTATATTTTTAGCTCTTAGGACTTCTTGTATATGATTAATTTCTGTATACAGTTTTCTTAGTTACTTTTCTCATTGCTGAGACTAAAAGCTAAGTTAAAGGAGTAAAGGTTTATTTCAGCTCACTCTTTCAGTCCATGGTCAACTGGCTCCAAGGCAGGGTGACAAGACAAAGGGGTGTCGCAGAGGAGAAATAATCCATGATAAAACAGGCATGAGGCAGCAAAGCAGCAAGCAGCAAGCAGCAAGCAGCAAGCCTGTCTTTCCTCTTCCCCTCTATATTTCATCCAGGCCATAGGCTTATTTCTTGGTGCCACTTACAGCCAGGGTGGGGCTTCCATTATCCACCCCGAGAACTATGCTAAACCTATTTAGTTATCACATGCTATGAATCCCAGTATTATACACCCTAATGTAGCATTACACACCCACGATCCAGCCACATCCTCCATGCCCCACCTATGAGCACCTGAGGCTTTAAGGGGACATCTAGATACAAGTCATAACAATAGTGTAAGTAGGGGTCCAAATTTTTTTTTGCATTTGCATGTCCAGCTGTTTCATCGCCATTTGTTGAAGGGACCATCCTTTCCCCTTTCCCCTGAATGGTCATGGTCATGGCATCTCTGTTGAAAATCAAATCACCACAGACATATGAATTTGTTTCTGAACTTTTAATTCTATTCCACTGCCCACATGTCTATCCTATCAATACCACATTGTCTTCATTATTGTAGCTTTGTAGTAAATTTTGAAATTGAAAGGTAAGCCTGCGTTCTTTTTTTTTTTTGGTACCGGCGATTGAACTCAGGACCTTGTGCTTGCAATGCAGGTGTCAGAACCACTGAGCTAAATCCCCGGGTCCCTCTTTGTTCTTTCTTAAGATTGTTTTGACTACTGTAGGTCCTTTGCATTTCCATATAAATTTTAGGATCAGTATGTTCATTTCTGCATAATTGGCAGTTGAAATTTTGATGAGAATTTCATTGAAACTACAGATTAATTTGAAGAATGCTACTATCTGAGTTTTTCAGTTGAATATTTTATTTATTTAGGCCTTTAATTTCTTTTAACAATGTTTTAGAGTTTTCAGTGTATAGTTCACATATGTCTTTGGCTAAATTTATTCCTAAGATATTTTTAATGTTATTATGAATGGAATAGTTTTCTTAACTTCATTTTCAGATTGATCATTGGTAGAACATATAAAGAAACACAACTCATTTTTCCATGTTGCTTTTGTATCCTACAACCTTGCTGTGTTCCTTCATTGGTTTATAATTTACTTTTGTGGGTTCTTTAGGATTTTCCTTATTTCCATTTAGTTTACTGGTACATTTTAGGTATACAATACAGTTACAGTCATCATTGGAATCTTGTACCTTGACATGATGTATCTTGGTTCTTATTTTTTCCCCATTCACCTGCCCTCCCTTCACCCCCTCCACCCTTCCCTATTTACAAAGACTTTGTTTCCATGTTTT